TTTTTTGGTTGCAGCCATCATTGTTGTTTGGCGGTCCCGGGCTGGGGATTCGAACCCGCCACCTTAGGTGTGTGTGGCTGGTGCTTTAGCCGCTTGAGCCACAGGTGCCGAGCCGACATAATTATCTTTATGTTAACCAGCTACACATGACTTTGAAAATTCAGGTATGTTTCATTGAAAGAACCAGACTTGGCACAGTGGCTCACACCTGTAATCCCAGCACTCTGGGAAGCCCAGGCCCAGGGAGATGGCTTGCCTGAGCTCATGGGTTTGAGACCACTCTGAGCTAGAATGAGATCCCAAGCTCAGTGCCTGTAGCTCAGTGAGTAGGGTGCCGGCCACATACACCAAAGCTGGTGGGTTCGAGCCTGGCCGGGGTCTGCTAAAACAATGACAACTGCAACAAAAAAATAGGCAGGGGTAGTGGCAGGCACCTGTGGTCCCAGCTACTTGGGAGGTTGAAGCAGGAGAACTACTTGAGCCTAAGAGTTTGAGATTACTGTGAGCTATGATGCCATAGCACTCTACCAAGGGTGATAAAGTGATACTGTCTCCAAATAAATAAATAAATAAACAAAAATAAATAAAAAAAGAAAGAACCACACTCCTCACAACCTTTTTTCTTTTTTTGTAGAGACAAGAGTCTCACTTTATCACTCTCAGTGGAGTACCGTGGTGTCACAGCTCACAGCAACCTCCAACTCCTGGGCTTAGGTGATTCTTAGGCTCCTGAGTAGCTGGGACTACAGGCGCCCGCCACAATGCTCTGCTATTTTTGTTGTTGCAGTTTGGCTGGGGCTGGGTTTGAATCTGCCCCTCTTAGTATATGGGGGACCGGTGCCCTACCCACTGAGCCACCCCATTTTTTGGTTTTGTTTTTTGAGATAGTCGCTCTGCTGCCGAGGCTAGAATGCAGTGGCACAATCACAGCCCACCACAAAATGCTGGGCTCTGCAGTAGGTGCAACTACAGGTATACAACACCAGGCCAGGTTAATTTTAAATTTATTTTTAGTAGAGAGAAATCAAGGTAGTGCAGGCTGGTATCCCAACTCCTGGGCTTAAGTGATCCTCTCAAAGTGCCAGGATTATAGGTGTGAGGTACTGTGCCCTGCCCATATCTTTTATTTATTTATTTTTTTGGAGACAGAGCCTCAAGCTGTCACCCTGGGTAGAGTGCTGTGGCATCACAGCTCACCGCAACCTCCAACTCCTGGCTCAAGCCATTCTCCTGCCTCCACCTCCCAAGTAGCTAGGATTACAGACGACCTCCAAAATGCCCAGCTATTTTTTGGTTGCAGCCGTCACTGCTGTTTGGTGGGCCCAGGCTGGATTTGAACCTGACAGCTCAGGAGTATGTGGCCAGCGCCTTAGCTGCTTGAGCTACAGGCACAGAGCCCCACCATACTTTTTAAAAGCTGACAAATCTTTTTTTTTTTTTTTTAGACAGAACCTCAAGCTGTCCCCCTGGGTAGAGTGCCGTGGCATCACAGCTCACAGCAACCTCCAACTCCTGGGCTCAAGCAAGTCTCCTGCCTCTGCCCCCCAAGTAGCTGGGACCACAGGCACTCACAACGCCGGGCCATCATTGTTTGGCGGCCCAAGCTGGATTCGAAACCGCCACCTTAGGTGTATGTGGCTGCTGCCTTAGCCACTTGAACCACAGGCGCCGAGCCAAGCTGACAAATCTTATAGCATTATTTGGTCAACTATAGTTGTAACACAGCTATTTAATTTGGTATTGGAGAAAAAACATGGTAACAGGTCTTCTTTTATCAGGAAAGTAATTTTGCATTACTTTTTGGGATCTATTTAAAAAGAAAGTCACCAATAGGTTTCGGTGCCCTCTCCAACTGATTGAAAAGAGGAAAACAGAGAAAATCAATGTGAGAAACCTACGCGGAAACACATCAAAATAATATTCAAAAGATTGTCACCTGGTTACATCTGGAAGCCACTGTGCAGTTAGGCTGGGCCACTCCAGAGCATGGGTCATCACCAAATCATAAAGAAAAGGGGTGTTCTTTTTCCATATTTTGTATTCCTCGTTGATTACACGTTCTTCCACAGCGTCGTCAAAGGCTGCTAAAATGTTTTTAAACAAATTAAGTTAACAAACAGAAACTGAGTAAACCTCTCCAAAACTACCCGCATGACTCTGAGATGGAGGAGATTGGTCTAAATTCCACCAAGCGGCGGCACCGGCACTCCTCTCCACTTTCGCAGAGCCGAACTCCTCGGGTCACCCCCGCTGGACACCCAGCCGTTCCGGCCACGGTGCCAGGCCTCCGAGGCACGCGCGCACGGAAAGCTCACAGGACCGATAAACAGGCCTAAGCGCTGAGCCGTAAGGGTAGGAAGCGGCGCAGGGAGGCCCAAGAAAGAGAAACAGAGATAGACAGTGTGTTTGTGGGGCAAACACCCTCCCAGGTCCTACCGCCAGCTTCGCCTGCGGCGACAGACATCACTCCAGAGGAATTGGCGTGCCGTTAACCCGCCCCCGGAGAGCTCCCTCCTCCCAGCTACGATTCTCGGGACCGCACTCAGCAAAGTCGGGCCTGCCCTCACTGTTAGGCCGTGTCGAGGCCGCGGCGTAGCCCCGACACTCACCGCCCTCCTGGGACGGGCCAGTCACACTTACCTTCCTTGTCGGCCATGGCGGGCAAGCAAGCGGCGAGGGTGATCCCAGGGTCGAGCGTTGCGGGAGGGGGGCTGCGAGCCTACGGGCGCTCGCTCCGCGCGCGCGGCCTCTATTGTTTCCTACGGCCTCTGCGTGAGAGCCGACTTGCGCACCTTCGCGCCAACCTTAGCCAATTGGAGCGCACCGAACGGCAGGATGGGCGGGGAAGCCATGCTCGTGACCAATCCAGACTCGTGGAGTCGCTTTTCGCGGGGGCCGAACACACGTTCCGCCCCTCCCCCCACACATCCCGGAGTCGACTTCCACGGATTGCGCGCGCGGGGCGTGATGGGACTGCGCCCTCCCAAGTCACGTGAGAGAGGCTTAGCCGCCCCCCCCACTTCCCGGCAGCCATTTTCTTAAAAACTGTTAAACTTACAATTTTTTTAGAGTACGTCTGCTTTCAGATATAATTATTAATTAACTCTCCTACCTAGAGGTGTTTAGCTTAAGTTGCCCTTCAACTTGTTTCTTTAATATTTAGAGAGAACTAGTGATGAAACAAGCGCACGGAATGTGATTTTTGGCCTTTTAAACGTCAACCAAGAGGCAGGGCCTAGGATGAAAACTGTAGGTCCTGAACTGCATTCGCGAACTCCAGAATGGCGTCCTGGCTCTTTAAGGGTGCGTGCCAAGGGGCGGAGCCTAGAGCAGAAGTTGTAAAGCAGTGCAGAAGTCCGGTAGATAAAGGGCGGAAGTAGGGTGTCCAATCCTGCGAACATGGCGCAGAAAGAGGAAGATGTTAGAGACTACAATTTGACTGAAGAGCAGAAGGCTATCAAGGCCAAGTATCCGCCAGTCAATAGGAAGTACGAATGTGAGTAGGTGGCTTCTACAGGTGCTGCAGCCACGCTGTTTTGCATTCTCTTGTAATTATCTTATAGATGAGGGGGAAAAGCCACCTGGTTTGATAGTCGGGAAACCTGGACCCCCCCACATTTACAGTCTCTGGAGCGTCTTTCATATGTGCCTAATCACAGTTATTTTTCTGAATTCTACTAGTGCACTAATTCCAAAGATAACTATTTTCAAACGTTTGCAGGGTTGCCACGTGTTCCATGGGTGGTGAGATGGTTTTAGGGTGTGGCAGTGTTAAAGGACTGGAAAAACTTAAGTAGTAGATTACTAAATTGATGTTTTACTTTAATCGGGTGTTAGTAAAAAAAATGTCTTCTTTGGGGGAGTGTCAAATGATCCTTTATTGAAACATTTTCTTTTTATTGTTTGGGATTCATTGAGGTTACAAAGAATTAGATTACAGTGATTGCATTTATTATAAAGAGTTCCTCTTATAATTGGGTCCCGCCCCAAAAAGGTGTGGCATACTCCCTGACCCTCCAACACTCCTTCCTCATCCCCTCTCCCAGCCCCCTCATTCCCCTACTACCCTCCACACCACCATGTATTAGGTCATCTACTGCCTTCATATTAGAATTGAGTACGTTCGGTTCTTGCTTGTCCCGTCTCGTGATGCTTTCCTGAGAAGAATGCATTTCACTTCAATCCAGGTTAATACAAAAGATACAAAGTCTCCATCTCTTTTAATGGCTGAATAGTATTCCCTGGTATAAATATTCCACAGTTTGTTAATCCATTACTGGGTTGGTGGGCATTTGTATTGAAACATTTTTATCCCTGTACTTTTTGACTAGCTGGGATTCCACAGCACCACTGTTGATGTCATCGATAATGTCAGGAGGGTGGGGGGGGGGCATCAGCATTGCAGCCCATGGAGTGGGCTGTTCCCAGGATGTCTTTAATGGTTCCAGAGAGTTCTTTGGCTAAAGATGGGTGTGGCATCTGTCTGAGAATCTCATCAAAAGTGATATTTCTGTTGTGTTTAATATAT